TTGTGATCTTACATAGACATGATCAAGATTAATAAGCCACGATTACCCTTGCGAAAATGACCATTGTCGTTGCATTACTGAAGGTCAGTGAAGTTCATTTCGTAAGAATGGGATTGTGGCTTTTTGTAATGTAGCAAACGTGACTGGAGGTTAGCCAAAGATGTAAACAATTGATGCTATCTGAGCGTCACACTTGAAAACAAAATATTGTTTACTATCTGCTGTTCCTGTCCCGCCTCTAAGAGTGCGCATGCTCGCCGCGTTTGATCCTTGGACCCTGTGAGGACCGTCCATCAAGCTGGTAGGGCTTTTCTGATTAGCCGTCGGTCGTCAGAACCCCGCCTCCGTGGCGTCCTCATCCAGTAGCTTCGCACAGTGAGCGGAGGCGCCTCGCCAAGCCAGGGAGGACCTTTGTACCCGGGCCGACGCTCGTGACGGGGGACGGCGGCCCGCCTCAAAGGACGCTGGTAAAATATTTATCCGATCCGAGAGCGATACTGACTCTTCATTGAGTTGTCGTGAATTTGGAGAGGCCGGCGCCTTTAATGGACACACAAAGGTCAGGCAATGTTTGGCAGGACCCAACGGTTTGGCGATAAGAGCGGCCGGGCCGATGATCAGCTCATGCAACTATGGAACGCCGTAGGAACATAATAGTCACGTGCTGAATTACCGTGACAGACACCTCTGTTATCCAACATTATCTTGCGTAACACGGATGGGTTTGCCATAAACCTGGGACCCTTGTGTCCGTCCCTTCTTCAACTTTGACAACGCAGGGATCATTAATCGCGCCTGCACGTGCTCCAGCTTCAGAAAACCCCAGCTAGAGAACGCACAATTTCATTGCGAGCGAATATTTTGGAAAAATCATGGATTTATTGTCGGCTATGCATGAACCCCTTTACAGTTCTGTTGGCATTGGCACTGTATACTCCCTAATGGTGTCTATCCATTTTTTTGCATTTGGTCACGCGCTTACTCCTGCTCGCGATCATGCATTATTGTCTGTCTGGCGTGCCATACCTAGAGCTTCAGTAATTTGAAGCACTCGTCCTCTTAGCATCAATTCGATTACTTTCATAATTGAACAGGTTTCCTCTCTTTTTTCATCCCTTCCCCCCTCTTTCTTTACAATCTTGCCAGTTTCATGCGCGTACACATGCAAGTCTCCCAGCTCATAATATACTGCAGGCAGGGAGACTGATGTTTATTCCCCTTGGTGTGAAAGATGGCCGCGTGCGCGGGCTTCGCTGCAGCAGTGACGGATGGGTCCCGAATGGCAAAGCGCGCGCCCCGCGCTGAACCCGCGATCCGCGGGTTCGTGAGCCACCATTCCATGACACCAAACATGGTGGACAAGATAAACGGCAGTAACTCCGCTTAACCAGACGCTGCCATAGTAACCCGTGACCTCTTGGCATTGCATCCCGCGTTTTGTTTCTGTTTAATTTTAAAGATTTATCGGGCCTGCTGCATGCCAAAGTGCGTCAGTTCCCCATCTTTTTTTTTTCTTCTTCTGGGGGGTCGTGATATAACGGCGCATTTGTTACAAGCGGGCCCCATCCACCGCAGAATATAGAGGTGGCATTCTGAAGTGTCTTTGGTGTGTACCAATGTTGTGACTGGTCCGTTTATCTGATAGGCATCTTGTCCGAGATAGTGGGCAGTCCCTGTGTGCGTGGCTCCCCTTGCCGCCCTGCCGGTGATGCTGCAGCCCCGGTGTGCCCTTGTCGCATTCAACCGTTGCCATGCATATGGGCTCCCTGTTCGCCGTTGGGGTTACACACGCATATCACACGCACACTGCATGCAGTGTTAGGGGGGGTGTCCATATTTTTCCTTCGTAATATTGCGAGCCCTGTCGGCAGGTTTGCTCTCTCTTGTCATCGAGCTTCGCCAATTCTGCCGGTGCTTGTGCTCACCCGCGCTTGCATTCCGGCGAATTACCTCTCGTGTCACCCCCACGCATACTAAAAGTGATGGGACCATGGATACGCGAATGACAATTTACATACAGGTACATCCAAACACACCACAAACACACACCTGATCACACTGTAAAAATAGGAGCAGACACGGACACACACGGGCAATTCCAGCATTTTTTTTTCGTGAACTTTGCTTTTCACACCATTAAACGCAGATGTAAAACAGTTTCAAAACGTCAGCAATTTGTGGAAGACACTACAGTGTTGTTTTCGATCGACGATGTCAATCTCGAAACATCTGATGTTTGGTCGGTTCAATGGAAGATGTGTATGATGAACACTGATTGCATACCGGTACATTTTATGTTCTTAGTCATCTTTACAACCCGTGCATTCGGCAGTTTTGTCGACATTCCAAATGTCAACGACGTCCTTAAGAATATTGATCGGTGTAACTGTTCCATAATCGCTGAAACATAAAATCCACGTAGTCGCATTCTGCACCAGACAGTGCACTCTAGTCGCCATTATCGTAGTCTAGTATTCTAGTAGTCTAGTGGTCTAGTATACGTGTAATGCGCAACGACAGTTCGCAAGTTAATTTAATTGATACGCACTCAAAATAGCACGAGCATTGGTATAAATAATCTTGATAAGATAATCACAATGTACTGACAACCACGTGGCTCAACCTTCACTTCAATATCTGATTTTTATTTTCGTGTTATCTCAGTGGTATTGTGAAAAAGCACTAATTTCCTTTTTTTTTTAATCTCAGCGTGGCAAATTAACACCTTGGGACAGCAGCATTTTGCTGTAACCAGGCGAACGCTTATGAAATAATTCCAGTGTACATTAACATATCTTGGCGACTTCTCACTGACTTGGAGACCTAAACATTCTCTCAACTAGAGGTGGCAACATGTTTAGGGTCTTCTCAGTAATGCACGGGAAAGGGATAAGATGCCACATACGGTGAGAAGGGGGGGGGAATTTCCATAGAAACCGCAAGGTTTTCTATGGTCTGAAGCCTCTATAGTCAGAGCCCCTTGTATTATTACCTCTGTGAACAGGCAACGGAACGCTCATGGTGACACTTTCACGAGAACGTCAGGTCCCCAACTGGCATTCTCTGCATGTTTGCGATTTGAAACAGTCTTTATAAACTCATAGTCAATTTCTTTGAAGGAAAATTTCATGACTTTTGGTCAAAACAAATAAATTAGTAGTTTTCCAATGCAGTGCCGCAGAAAAAAAGTGGATGGGTTGACATTTTCTGGGAAGCAGGCTTCATAATGACGGACAAATATTGAATACGTTCAGATTGTGAAACATTCCGGCTTTATCAATTTCCCTTCCCTTCTTTTGGAACGCCAACAAATTTTGTCATGCACTTCAAATGAGCAGAGCTTATAATTGTCTGGTTCAAATTTGTTTCAATTGAGAAGAAGATAGGAGTTTTAATCCATCCCATGCAACAACATTCGCGGCGGTGATTAATGGGGTTGAATTCACCACTTCTGGTAATTTTTCAGTGCTAAGATTTACAACTCTAATTCTTTGCTCATTTGTTTGCTGTTATTCGATATTCGGGCATTCGGCATGAAAATAGTTTGTAGGGCATCTCTTTTCCCCTTGGGTGGTTGAAATACTAGTTAAGCCGTTATGTTGACCTTTCGTCAGTTCCGTATTTCAAATATAGGTTTGTTTCGTTGGTTTCATAACTGATGCTCAGTTCAAAGTCAAACTAAAACAAAAGATGCACGCTAAAATGGTACTGATACTGCAAGGAAAGACATGACTCAGGAAATTTGGAGTATTTATTGTGAGGGCTAGAAGCTGAACTGAAGGCATGAGGACTTTTTGGCTATCTGAATACTTCGTCTTTCTTAGACCTTAAAATGACAAATTGATCTTTTAATACTGATAGAATTTTTTCCTTGAAGCAAGAAAGATGCGATGTGCCTTTATTATTAATAGTGCATTCCTTTCCAGAAACGGGAAAATGGCCGACCACAAGGCACATACAACAACTTAACGCATAATGCTCCCTGTCAGACCCATACTTACTTGATTTTAATTTCACAAACTTGACAAATTTACGCTGTGCTATGAACTTCAACTAAGTCACTTTGAATGTTGGAAGTTTCCCGAGATAATAAAAGAAGACAACGTGCTGTGTGACGCACGAAAAGCCAATCGTTGGCAATATACATCTGAGAGGATCATTTTTTAATCCTTTGTAATTATTCCGATTATCTCGCCGTACGCCTATTTGCAGTTCTTCCAACGGATTAGCAGGGGCGTAAAGTGTCATAAAATGATTGGTGTTGATGTAAAGGGTAACGGCACCAAAGATGTCTCGCTGTGTTGATGTATAAACGGGCACGACACATATATCTATCGAATTATTTTTTCCGCAAGTACTGTAGCCGCAATCTTTTCTGGTATTTCTATTTATCGACATTGTTTGAATGGAGGATTGGAACGCAGTGCTCAAGTATATTGCGTTATGTTCAACTGCACGGCCATGGGTAACAATTTCGCAAGAGGAGATAGGCGCATTTTGCGCCAACAATCGTGTACTTGTTCATTCCAGTAGCAATAATACAGAACAAACATCGACAACAAATGGTGGCATTTTGTGACACGACTTCTTTTCATCTCGACAGAAATGGACCCTTGATCTCCCCGTCTCGTCTGCCCAAAATAGGCCCCGGGCAGCCCGGGTCCCCCACTGATACATGCCTCGCCTGGGCCGATTGTTACTGGTTCCGTTATCTCGGTGGTCTGTTTGATGTTCAAACGTAGCCGTTGTAACACGTCCGTGCCTATGGTACACGTTGTGCAGTTCTAGGCCTTCCAATCTCGCTGCGTGCTGTTGTTTTTGTTGTTGACGTTGTCACTAGATGGCGCCCTAGAAGCCCCGTGTAGCACATTCATCCCCGTGGCAGCTAGCCCTGGGTCTGATCCACGGGATGTGTTGAGACTAGACAGATAGCTTGAGCCGTGTTTGTGCCGCATCACCTGTGTGTGTATATGCGCGTAAGCAGGGGCGGTGTGCCTCATTGTGGTGGTTCACCACGGACTGTCCTCAGCTCGGGAGACCCCGCTCTTCACGCGGCCGCCTGTCCTTCTCAAGTGTGTTTTGGCGTGAGACTTGGTGTCGTTTGTTACCTTGCGTTTTGGGTTCATCGCGGCTTAGCTCAACTTAGCACGGACAACTTGGCAGCGGAGTGTCATCAGGCACCATGATGGAGGGTAACAGCCCGTCGTTTTACAACTCGCCGTTCGGCTTCCACAATGATCAGTTCGTCGGGCCGCCAATCTCTGCCAGCACCGGGCCTCACCGGAGCTACAGCCCGCCTCCCCCACCGGCCTGCATCTACGCCGACAAGGCCGGGCCGCAGGTAGGGGGCTACGGCGGAGCCCCTATGGCCGTAGTGGAGTCCCGGGTGGACGAGGGCCTGCTGCAGTACCCGCGGATGACCAACATGAACATGATGACTCTGGCCAACATGACACTGCCCCAAGACACGGCCTGCACGCAGGCCTGTGGGGCCGGCACGGGAGCCGCGCAGCCGTGCGACGGCGTCCGGGAGCCCATGCAGCACCAGGCTGGCCAGCTCGGCCACACCGTCATGCCGGGGACTACAGCGGTTGCTGCCTGCCGGGGATCAAATCAAAACCTCGGAGGCAACCCGGGTGCTCACCACCACACACCCACGGCCCCGGCCGGCAAAACAAAGGCGGACGAGAGAAACCAGAACCTCCCCTTCCCCTGGATGAAAACTACCAAATCGCATGCTCACATGTGGAAAGCAAACTGGCCAGGTAAATTCAAAATGTCTGCGTTCATTCCTCCGTGTTTTGATTCGTGTCATCTGTGTCCCTCGTTCCTGCATTTATTTACCCTTCTCCTTAGTATAAACATCCCCCTCATGCGGTCCTCCATCTGTCGTTTTAGCGGTTTCGTTGTTTGATTTCACCTGGATGCAAAATATCTGAACATACTTGACAGAAACTTAAAGACTAATAAAATCAAATTCACGGTTACTACTCACAGTACACAATTCCCAAATTGAAACGATTTCCTGCCTAGGCCTATTATGCCGTCAACCAAATCAACTAAATAATTTCAACTGACGCGCTGCTGTTTGGCAAGGTTTACGGAAGGAATGCAAAAAGATATTCTGATGTTATTCCTTGTGTAGTTTATCGTAAATCACTCTCTGACCAGTTTAAACTTGCCCTCAGTCTTTTCTGCAATAAAATTTACCCGGTACCACCGCTGTTTCCGTTAAAAAGTGGTTCTTTGAACCAAAATAACATGACATTCAATTCAGCTGAACAATTTCCCGCTTCTGTTTTACTCGGCTGGCAATTAATGTCGTAAAAAAATCGCCCTTTTCCCAAGAATGACTCCTTCGCTAAAGCTTTAAATCTCCTATTTATCCTAATTAGAGTCACAGAATAAAACAGGCCGTTGCAATCCAAGTCGGCAATTCACCGAGCGCAGTGTAATTTTGTGTTAATCTAAATAGTTTTATAAAAAAATATGTTATTCCTATCTCGGCGTTGTACCTTATCAGTCGTAATGAAATATCGCATCTCGTTAGTTATGGTGCTGTACTATGTCAGTCCGTGTTCCCTTGATAAACGGCCGTCAAGCTTTTGTCGCGTACCAGCGATTACAACTGAGTTCCCAGGCGTTTCTAATCTCGTGCAGCCTCTCTCTTTTTGTGATTAAACTATTTTGCAGATTTTGCTAAAAATGGTTTTTACTATTGACTTGATATTCAATCAAAGATGATTTGTTTTCACGATGTAATTTTACACAACGGCTCTGATATTACTGTGATAACAACCATGTTTCCCATTGATCAAGCAAAATAATTTTAAAAAGCATTCAAATCCTGTTTACTGACTGAGTTCTATTTACTGACGGCTTCAGTATACAATTTTATTCATGGTTTAAAAAATTCATTTGAAAATGCTTCTAGAAATAATATCATATGATACTTGCAATGCCAGTGTCGGTTTACCACATAGTAATTGTGTTGTTGATTGTATTCATGTGTAATTTATAATAGTCGTTCGATATCGTGTTTGTGGTTGCATTATGTTTGTTTTTCTTCTGTTGGAGCTTGTTTTGCAGTTTGCATAAACACCTCATTTGCTTGTTTTGGTTCCCACGCAAAAACGTGCCATATTTTGTCATAATGTCACGATAATCTGTTTTACCTTTTTAAGAAATGGGACTTCAACATTTGTGATCTCATGCGGTGGGCGAAGAGCATTTTCAAGACTCGCTTCTCAGGCTAAATCGTTTTGTCGTGTTTAGCGCGAAAGACCTCACGGTGAACAGGTTTATGCGTGAAGACGTTACACGCTATTTGAACGAAAGTTTCCCGCCAAATGTGTCCAAAAAGTGCAGCATAGGCTCGAAACGTGACGGATAATGATAAGGTAAAACTGAGCAAATCGAAGCCGCGTTATCGTCCTGGCTGATGCGGGCACAACATCAATGATGGCCTGGTGGGGCTCCTAGTATCGCTCACTCAATCCAACCTGCCGGGATTCACGCTATGCTGAAAGCTTCAGTGCCCAGAGATATAGAAAACCAAAAAAAAAAAAAAAAAAAATCAGTACAGATAACATTTATACATTTCTTGGAAATGTGATGATCGGCAAACAACTCTTCAAAATTTGGGATTTCTTTCGCTATTTTTCAGAAAACTGTAGTCAGAAATCAAAGTGCGTTATGTGACTGAAGGAAAATGAATCTTCGTTTGTCTTTGTGTGGAAATTGTTGAAGTGCGCGAGAATGCTCAAGAGAAGCTTTACCTGCATATCTCACATCGCACAAGACTTTCAAAGGCTTAATTCATTATTTCTGGAAATGGTGCGAAATAATGGTGCCACTTTCTTGCTCTGTGGCAGACGTATGCCTCTTTTACATTATTGTCATGACTTCAGTCTTATAGTGGTGCTCATTCTGTGTCTTGACCTTGCAAAGGGACCTCGTCGTGTCGAACACCAGACCCACTGCCAGCTTGAAACCCTGCACGGCTCAAATTTATGATGTCGTCTGCTCGCGCATTGTCATCCAAGACAGTTCATAAGAATTGCGGTCACACACACACGCAACGTCGCTGTATACTGATTTCGTATTTTGTGTTCTTGAAATTGGACTAGCCTAATTTTTTTGATTTATCATTGTCCAAAACAGAGATATTCGGCGAAAGATCGCGTTAGTTTTAGCAGCCATTATGAGTAGTTCACCCATTGACATGCAACATAAAATATGTAATAGTATACGCCTAATTGAATTTCTTTTTTTCAGTCTATTTGCAAGTATAAACACTGCCAGCTTGATGGCATATTTTACAAGTTATGCAGCTTTTTGAATATATTTGTTTACTGACAAGAAACACCTTTTTCATAATCACACTCACCCGGTTTGTTCGTGGAATTTGCAGTTTTGCGCCGCACAATCAGGCATAATTATAAATAAGAAATATGCGTCTTAATTTTTCACATATTTTCACAGTTTCAAATTTGTGTTTCAGATACAGATGAATTACACCTTGCAGAACATTTCACGTAGTACACATTCAGTCCCATGTAAAAAGATAAGAATAAAAAAGACACTGATTTTAAATGAATAATTTTCTCTCTCGTGGGAGTGGTAAAACGAGAAATAACTAAACAGTCCTTATGCTGGACCGGCTTGTGCTGACTTCGTACAAATGTATTCTGCTGGCAAGCGCGCCATCATGAGCTCCCTACTCCTCAATGCAGTCGGCGGCATTCCCTTTATTTCTGGAGGAACCGAAAAAAGACTGCATTGTCTCTTGAGTTTTCATCGATCTTGACCAATCGATGTCCGGCCATTCCAGGCAAATGGCGTCGTTTAGAAGGGGCGGGAATGGGATGGGGATAACAGGGTTTGTTGGGGGTGGGGCACGAAGGTTGCTCCAATGTCAAAATGTGTGCCCTTGCTCGCCGGGGGCCTACTTCAACTGGACAATGGCCGACAAGGCGCGTGGGCAATCCCATAAGTGATAAATGAACCAATCGCTCAAGAGATTGAATTTCGAATTCGCTGACGGCTGGCTATTACTTTTATTACCGCCCCGTGTTGTTTCCATTTATAATTGACGTCTGCATTATATTTTCTCCCCTTGTTCGTCTTAGGTGGGCTCTTCTTGTGGGTTTGTTCCCGAAATGGAAGGAGAAGCAAATCGTCTATATATTTATGGCTGGAAATAGCGACTGACAATTGTGCAATACCTGTGTTGTGGAACAAAGTTACACTTTTCTATGCACCGTAACGTTTCAAGTCACTGTGAGCCAAGTCGAGGCTGGCTGTTTTGCCCGCAAGTTTGCGTTCGCACTTCGTCGGGTTAAACGTCATAGGACACACCATTGAATTTTACGGCTAATGAAGCATATTATACAATAGCTAATACCTTAACCTGTTAGTCTGTGGAAATTGACCAACTTTTAGTATCTCTTGTTATGCCTAAAACGTAATTCGCTATTCGTATTAAGACTGTAGACAGGTGTTATTCTACATGGGCCAAGTTCCCAGGGCATGGCGCCTCAATTCACTTGTTGGGCCGGTCCCCGGTGATGTCCAAATAGTTCACTCTGGATCTACAGTGTAACAGTTTTTGTCTTCCATTCACCCGTGCATGTAAGAGGGTTCCAAAAAGACTCCTCTTCCATGATACTAAGCAGTCGAAACCGAGGCAATTTTTTTTGTTGTAACTACCTCCGTCCCCCTATACGCCTTTTGAGATGAGGTTTAACCAAGTCATCAAGTATATTTGTTAAAGTAATGATGAGCTTATATTGTTGGTTGCACCAGGGGAGCAGGGCGGGTGTCTTTGAGGATCGGCCTGGGCCGGCATTGATTAGTGGGGTTTTCCAATTACCTGGAGTCCAGGAGGATGAATAACTTGGCCCAAGTGAAGTGAATAAGGGAGTGAAAGACAGGGTTTAGTGGTCGGAGGATCTGTGGGGAAGTCATTGACCGCGAGGGCCCCCCAAAATACCGCCCTGAAGTTGCCTCCAAATCTCGAAGAAAATCTGAGACCGAGGGAAAACAAGTTCTTTAGTGTGAGAAAGGCAGATGCTGCATGATTAACAACCTGTTCTGTCCCCAGCGTTGGTAGAAATAATTTATAGATCTCTACCCTTCTTACCCATAAAATTTTACTTACTCTTCCCTAACGATAAAGGGATGCATGCAAGATGTACTGATACTGGACTACATTGGTGTAAGGGCAAACCCCTTAATTAAAAGGATACAATAATTGTAAAAAGTATGGAGACTATTTCTGGAAAGGACAGCTGGAAATGTTGGAACTAGCATCATGATTCCTCTAATGAACCTTTTCTTTAGAGTCTGAAAAAAAACCACGCGACAGTTTTGTCACTCACGTAGAAAAAGATGCCAAAGCCGAACCCCATGGACGTAAATCCAGGGGGAACGGGGGCGTATACTCCTCCCACTGTTTGAGGTGGGCGGATGGGCTATTGAATCATTCCCCACACTTTTTGTGGTAAGCAAAAACAATTTTAAAGCGGATTGTGTAGAAGTTTTCGGACTTTCGACGACTAACATATCACTCAAAAGGGGGATTCAAAAGCAATAAATATGCCATTCTGAATGAATAACACAGATGTACATCAATGTCATGAACATCGACCGTAGAGCGTCATATTGTGTCACTCGCCCCCCCCCCTTGCCGGGCAAGTCAACCCCCTCCCACTTTTTCCATCCCCCATTCCCCCAATTTCTGGCACAGATTTACGCCACTGGA